ACCCCCCTCCCTGGCTGGGCTAAGCACCTTGTTTGCATTTCTCTCTGCAGGCAATTTAAGACAGCATAATGCAGCTCACGCCCAAGGAGAACACGGTGACAAGGCACTATTTCTGCTGCTCTGTGCCTGGGCTGACGTCAGATCACTGTTGCCAGGCATTCAGGGTATGCGTGCTGCCTGTGGCAAAGCAAAAGCAACCAACCAAGCAAAAGAAAATAGAATTACTTGCTGGCAAATGGTAACTCTCTGTAGAAGGTAAGAAAAAGCCCCGTCTTCCTATTATTCTGGATTTTAATTAGTGAGTTTAGTGTAGAAGTCATATAGGAACAGATTGCCAACACCCTGCCCAAGCAGCCCTCTTTAACACAATGGTCTAGAAACACTGATTTGTTAATCAAAACTGCATGGTAAGAAAGGGAGGAAGACTTGATTGTATTATTTCTTTACTGACATTGAAGACTAATCTTAGCAAGACAACGTCTGATCCAATGCCAACTCTCGTGGTGAAGGATTAAACACTGAAGGACTCTAAAATCATACCTATATTCTTTTATAAAAGTATGCAGTAGCACAAGAGATCACAGATGATGGCCTTTAGCCCAGACTGCAGTATAACAAATAAAAAAAAAAATGCACAAAAAAGATAGAGTCTTTTGTCCTTAAGAGCATTTTGTGTGTGTGCTTACGTGCAATCTATAATTACTTGTCTAAAGTCTGCATGAGAAAACAAATGAGAACACTGGATCTCAGCTGCTGTCAGTCAGTCCCACTCTGCTGCCTCCAGTGACACGCTGACACCTCTCAGGGCTTTGAATGTTTCTCCATATTAAGACACAAAACCACCAATTAAGCAGCCAGCTCCAACTCTATTCAGTTTGGTGATTCAGCTCTTTGGTTTTAGTGAGTACCAGATGGGACGGCTGATTCATAGGTAGCAGTTCAATATATTGTTTGAGGGAAGGAAAGCAGAAGCAGATTTGATTTGCAATTTGACAAAGCCATCCCTGGCCCTACAAACCTGGCAATGTTTGTTCCAGCACTGCAGGGAACAGGCAGATCTCCTGGTGAGGCACACCATTGTTTTCCATGCGCTCCCTGCATTCCTTCTTCTAAGAAGGAAAATTCATAGTGCCTTACCTTCTGCTTGGCTACTTCCAGTTTTTGCCTACTTAGAAAAAATTCAGTTTGGTTCCATTGGAAACCATAAAATACACTGTAGGGAGCAATTTCTCAATTAGCTACAGCCCACATTCTGAGTGGGATCTGCTCTCATACTCACATTTCGGTCAGTAGGCTTACTTTCTTAAACAAGTATTCCAATCTTATTAACAGCACTGTTTAATAGCACAGAACAATTAGCCAGTAAATCTCTACTGACATGAAGAGAACAGCTTTTCTATTACTTGATCTCAGATGTGATACAGATACAGATTACTTGATACAGACATTATTGCCTTCTTATAACTCAGAGGAAGGAATGCAGGACAAATGTGGATCACCTTGAGTGTTATAAAAAAAAAAATGCCAGCACAGTGAGTCCTGGCAGAGTCCACCACTTGAGAATCAAATAGAGTATAATACCTAGAAATGTTCCAGATTTCTATTTACGTCAGTTTTGGCAAGTTTCCTTCTCTGAAATTACATAAGATTAATGCCTTCATATGATGTATTGTCTCATCATTCAAGGCTGCCACAATCTTATATTAATATCATCTTTCCTTTTCTCCATCTATCACCACAGAACTAATGTTTTAGAGGCCAACAGATAAGGTCCCTTTCAGCTCATCAGTTTCGCACATTTGCTTTCACACTCCATCTCTGGTTTGTGAGGAATTGGTCATAAACAAAGCACCTGCTACTACCTTCTGGTCTTAGCTGTGCTGTAGGACCAGCAATACCCAGTGTATTAACTACTGAGCCATTATTTCTATCAATCAACAGTTTTAAGCTAAGAACATTCCTAAATCTGTTCCTGATAGTGAGTTTTAAGTCTTTGGAAGAATCCATGCTGTTATCCCAACTTCAAGCCTCCATATTTCTGTTTCAGAGATGATGTTTTAGCTCTAGTCCCACCTGCTGCAGAACACTGCATTCCCTGGAAAAGATCATTTGGAAGCTGCTTGTTTCGATCAGGCAGGGCTGCTGCCTTCCTGCGGATTGACGCTTGGTGGCACTACAGTTCAGGTAAGAGAAAGTAAAGATAGAGATGAATCAGCAGCATTTCACTGTTCGTATAGCTGATGCACTGTGTCATCTAAAAGGGTTTGCGCTGTTCCGGAGGTAACATTGCTCAATGAGCTTTGAAGTCTGGCTCTGCACTTCCTCTGAAAATATATGTGCTCCCTAACTCTAAGTGAAATGCTAGCCACTCCGTGTTCTGCAATCTCCTCTGAAGTCTCTGCAGGACTTCAAATAGAGAACTCTCACGACATTGGAGGAGATTAAACAAGTGCTATCTCATTTTCAGTGCCAGAAGTACTGTGAATGCTTCACAGATGAGCAGAAATTATGCCTGCTGCTTTATAATTACAGAGGCTGATCTTGCAAACTGTCCTTAATATTAACAAGAAGCCTGATTAGTTTTTGGTGGACTCCACATATTCTGCAGGAGCCCATGCATACAAATGTGTTAGCAGCATGAGGCTGTAAGAATATGCAAGTTAAAATGATAGCCTCAATTATTTAAGATTTGGTTAAATATCGCCTTTTGATTTCAATGAACAAAATAGTTGACAGTGCTTCACCTTGGTAGAAAAAAGACCAAGTCATGGATGCACATTATGATCAGAAGTTCAATTAAAAGGATTAGAGCCGAGTGTGAAACCACAAGTACATTCAGTGACATTGGAACTCTTCTTATAGCAACACCATATGTCAGAGAAGTAATAAATTACAAGGTAGTTTAAAAAAAGTCTTCTTTAAACACAAAAATAGCTGTGAACACTAAGTTGGTAATAGACAAATTCACAGGTTTTAAATATGATAATTCTGTCCTAGATGGATGTTTATATATAATGGGAGCAAGCACTCAGGAGACTACACAAAGCTTTATACAATGTGCAATGACTTTGTATGTGGCTCTGGACCTGCCCAGTACAGTACAGTCAGCACTGCAGTCCCCAAGGCAGAGGATACAATTTCAAAAGCTCTTCTTTTAATCCTCTAACACCTGCTTCTCAACACTTTAAGAAGCCTTTTATTATTTTTTTTTCCACTTTTTACTGCAGGTAAAATGAGCTTGAGGGACTGTTAAAAATCTCAGGGATATTCAATAGCCTAATAATCTCCTTTATATAAGCACCAAGTTGATCCAGTAACATTCAGCAACTACTGCAAAATACATTTGATGACTCTGTGTAGTTGCTAACAGGGAAAGATAGCTCAGTGTGCCCAAATCCCTGCCTAGCCCTTTTTTATATGCAACAGAACCTTTAAACTCACTGAAAGCTCAGAATCACTAACAAAAGTTTTTGGTTTAAGAAATGGGTGACAGAGCTGGGGATGTGTGCTACACCAAGGTTCCCACCCTTCATGGGCTACTGGTCAGCTTCAGATTAACAGCCATTCTTGTTCTATCTCCAATTATCATAAAATAAGGAGAGTTAACAAAGACAGACAGAGCCCAAATTGAACCTCACTGCAGCAGAGACTGCAGCAAGTGGATTAGACACACCCTATTAAAGATGCAGTACATCATTTCTGCCCTTCAAGCTTACTTTATCCCCTTTGCTGCAATGCTGTCGGCAAACACAAAGCTTAACCCTTCTCTGAGCAAAGAAAAGCAGGCATTAAACTTTGTGGTGTCCGAGCTAAAAGCACCAGAATATGAAGGATCTATATTCACTTACCTCAGAATCTCAATATATTTGTATATAAAAGCATCTGTAAAGAATATTTTGGTTTGTTACTTTTCACATAGCAAGTGCTTGCTGCAGAGGAATAGGGTTTGCAAATTCCTGCCTGAGAATCCTAATTGCTGGATGTTCACTGCAAAGATCCAGTATAAGACTTGCATGACAGTGCAGTTTTCCCCAATCCATCTGATTTGTATGGCAAACTTAGGCATGGGCTCCACCCAAATTCTTTGGTTAAACTTTGTTGAAATTTATATTTTCAAATCACTGAAAAAAATAAAATGCATTTTTGGTGGAAGATTGGTTATTTGTAAATTCAGGTCAACCCTCAGTAAACAGTTCAGCTGGAGGAATGAAGGAAAAGTAGAAGTTTACTGAAGCTGGAGCAGATAAATATTTTCTAAAGAAACTCCTTAAAATCTTCATTTCACAGCCGACCTGAATTTCTTCCAACATCAAAATTTTGCCTGCCAAACATATCCATCTATTACACTCACATCTTTGTCTCTTCTTCCTTGATGCTGACTAAAATTCCTATGCAAGGATTTAAGGAAATCCAGAGAAAATAGTTTGTAGTTCACCAATTCTAGGTTGTCTGTCACTGGCCTTCAAGGGAGCTGCTGTAGGCAATAAATTGGAGCAGTCCCAGAGGTTAGACCTATTTGAATTTGGGAAGAGCCAAGCTAGCATTATTCTCTCTATCCTGTGAAGGGCAGCCCAGATTCTGGGCCTGAGAGCACACAGTGAGAAACCTGTGGGGCTTTGTTAGTGACAAAGCAGTATGGACAAGAGGGTTGTGCTGCACAAATACATGCCTTGCTGTTCTGTTTCAGAGCCTAGATTTCTTCCTTCCTCCCACCCCTTACCTAACTACATTAACAGTCCAACCACCTAAGGCTGCTGGGGGAAAAACAAAATGAAGTGTAGCACCATGCAGAGGAAAGCAGTGATGCTCCTTTTAGAGAACATCCAGCTAGAGGAACAAAGAAGAAACGTCACGTGAAAATGCAAACAAGAATGGCAACAGGGCATTATGTGTAAGCCACACATACCTAACAAAAGTGTTCTTTTGTATTCACATCAATGCCTTAAGCTCCCAGTAATGGAAATGAAAAGCTGTCAGTAGCTTCTCAGTGCTCTTGCTTGTCTGGAAGAGCTCCGCAGGTGATATCTACTGTCTCACTGCTGACAGCTGAAGCACCAAATCTCTCGTTTCAAACAGAATAAAGTACAGTGCTTTCTGTTCAGTGGGTGGGTCTGATTCTCCTTTTACACTCAGTTAATTTAGTAATGATTCAACCAAGCCAGTGGAATCAGTGGTGGTTATACAGACATAGGGGAGAGAGTGAGATTCAAAGCAGTTAGTGTCAGGTAAGGCTGCTGTACAGTTGTTATACCTATATTTAGAGATGCCTTTCACAATAACTGGCAATGACAGCAAGCCTTTGTCTACTGACAGAGATAACTGGTTGTAAGACTTTATGCTGTAGACTGGAACAGTGCAAGCAAAATAACAGAAAGTTCCATGTAGAACAGGGGAGGACATGAGCACTTGATATTTCCTTAAGGGTTCTCTTTTACTAGACAGGGCTGGAGAAAGCTAAATGGACTAAAAATTAGTTTCTTCATTCTGCTGACACTATAAAAAATAGTGTCCTTAATTTCTGCTGGCTAAAGATGCTCTCTTATTTTGTTCTATTTCAGTTGTTGATGGGATACCTGAAAAGCTGGTTTCTGTTACCCAGTAATTGACTTCTCATCCAGTATGAGAACATTTGGGGGCTAACCATTAGAAATTCTGGTCATTTTGCCTTTAACCTGAATGAGGTCTACATGAACAGATCTAAGGCTTGAAGGTAAGAGACCTAGAGATCAAGGTTCCTGGTTTGCTTAATGAACTTTGGGAGTGCAACAGGTAATTAGGAAGAAACTACTGGTCACTTGAGTTAAAAGCAACTTCTGCATGCGTTGACCTGGTGAATTTCAGAATTCAACCCCAACGCCAGGATATGTTTTGCAAGCTGCAGCTTCTGTTTGGCTCTCAACCCAGTTTTTCACCACCAATCCTTATCTTAAGCTTAAATAACAGAATTTATTACTACATGCCTTTGAATTCTCTTGGATGTGATTAGCTGCCGTGTCAAAGATGATGCATACTTTTCTTTCAAGACCAGGGAAGCTCTGGTACTAATTCATTTAAGGTACTGTAAATTATGCCAGCAAGAAGCACAGAGGCACTGGCATTAAAGAAATAAAGTCCAGATATCCCTGATGCTACTTACCATGTGTTGTCTGCCCATTCCTGAATGTATCCTTGATGCTTTCCAATGCTGAGCTGAAGTCTCAGACATGCAAGCTCTAAGGCACCTCAGCGTTTTCCATTTTTATCCTAGTTCTAAAAATAAATTAAAAAATCCCAAATTATTTGACATAACATACATCAAATTTAAATGAGAACAGTTCAGGATGAGATCTGATAGTATACTGAAGTGAGTGGTACAGAAAAAAGTATGTACCATGTAAGATAAATATCATGATACAGAATGGGGTAGAGAAAGTGAATCTGCTTAAAACAAAGTCATCCTATTTTCTGTTGTTGTTCTTTGGTAAAGGAATAAAAGACATCTGAAGGCAAAGAACTCAGCTTGGAAGAGACCTTATTACCCAATCTTAAATAGGAATAACATGCAGCAACTTTGGACTTCTTACCCTCAAAATACACAGTCAAAACTGAAAGATTTGTAACTTGGTTGTGAAGGGTATCTAAACCAAACCTGAAGTGTCTAAAGCTGGCACCACTACAGCACGTGTAAGGGGAGGGAGAAAAGAGAGAACAGGATGAAGAGCAGTTATTTTTCAAAAGAATAAGAGTTGCTTGGTTTATTGACATGCTTGATATATAAGGTCAATTTGTTGGCTGTTATCTGTAAACACACAACAGAGTCATGTTTTGCTGTCATTGCTGATTGCTAGACAACTCACACTGACATTTCTGCAGACTTCCCACAGCTGGACTCAACTAAAGTGACAAAAAGGCCAAATCCTTCTTGAACCTATTCATACAAAACACTCTTTGACTAAAATAGAAGCCAGCAAGATTTAGCCCATAGTGTCAGTGATGCAACAGAAAGCACAGCAGCGACAGCAGAGCAGCAAGGTCCCAAGATTGCTCAAACACAACAGCTGTGGGCACAAAAATAAAGGAAAGAAGCTGCTTACCTTCAGAAGGCCTCAGGTGAGCAGAGACCTCCAGCAAGATCTCCTTATCTCCACTGCCAACCCTTAAATGAGGGCTGAGAAGGGGTGGATCGTGGCTCCAGCCCTTCAGGTCATTCAGGAACATGGCACTGAATGCACCTGAGCTCCCTTGGGTTGATCCTGCCTTCCCACCAGGTGCTCGATCACTGGTGCAAGCTGTGACTTAGTACTTCTGCTACAGTGACTAAAAACTGAAATCCTCTAGGATGTTTCTTGCTTCTTCTGAAAACATTACTCACACTGGCCCTGCGGTCTATGAACAGATATCCCTACCATTTAAAAGTAATGAAAAACATCCGAGCTGAAAAATGATGTCTGCTGGAACACAGTGATTCAAAGCAAGTGAAGCTGAGAATATGTTAGCAGCCTGATAAGACAGGCCTGTTCCACTCAACAGCTTTTTCTTTCATGTTTGTTAACGTCCTTGATTCTAAAATAAAAATTCATCACAGCTTCAGTCATCACAGAGTCATCTCCACACAACCATTTCTGCCACTGTTTTGCATTTCAAAAGAACACATTTGTTGCAAATGTGAAAGAGTAGAATATAGAAAGTATTAAGTGTAAGAAAGTGTAAGGACACAGGTGTGAAGAAATAAGCATTGCTGAGCACTGAAACAGTATTGAATAGACAGATATTTAGGATAGAATGTTTACTATTTGTGGTCCTCAGGCACTGTTGTTACTGGCTTAAAAGCATTGGCGTAGCAGCTCAAAGTTCCCCAAATACTTATGACCCTTCCATAGGGCAGTAGAAGTGGTGCACAGAGACATTCCCAGTTTCACAGCAAGTTCCCTGCTGAACTTACAAGCATAAATATTCTTGATTGGGCAGAACTGTTGAAAAAGCCCGCAGTAACTGTAATGGATTGAGGCAGGTTTGTGTAAGGACCTAATCAAAAGTCTATAGAAATCAATAAAGAAAGTCCCACTTTCTTTAGCTAATTTAGACTCATACAATGTGTTAGGACAGGCTGCTGATAAAGATGGAGTTAAACAATTATAGGCAAGATCATATTCACTAGAACCTGAGTTCTTGTATGGATCACATGTTATGTTGTGGGGTTGTAAGGCAGCATAGTAGCAGTCAATGGATGACTCAACGTGACAAGTTCAGATTGGCCTTCCTTACTGCACTATGCCATTTGGGGCAAAACTTCTATCATTATTTGCTCACCTTATCAATGTGAAACATTATCTCAATGGAAATCTTGTGCACTTCCTCCTACAAAACTTTCACAAAGCTTTATTTTGCACATCCAGGGAAAGGGAAAATCATAATTACGGCATGTTAGGAAGTGCACCAAACTGTTCCCCTCCATCAAAACTGCAGTGGGTGCAACACTGCTTGCAGCTAGTCCCTTCAGGAGAGGAATTAGGCAAAATGATGAGTTAATCATTCATGCTGGTGTATACTGTAACACTTTGTCCAATGATATCAGCCTACAAAGGTGTGCTACAGTGAGCTTTTGTGATGTGAAATTCTGTTCACCTGAGACAAAGAACAGAACAGTAAGAAAAGCTGTGGTTGTGGCAGCCACAACGCATAGGAAGGTGTTGAAACAACTGCATTCTAGTGAAAGATGGAGCAGAAAGGCCACTTTTAAAGCCAGAGAGCATAGATGCAGGGTGATGGTTTTATTTTTAAATCACATTTGCATGCAAAAATCACAGCTTGCAGTCACATCTGTGAGCCCACCTTAGCAACTGCCCCTGTAACACGATCTGCAGGCTTGTAAAAACCACCCATTGATTAGCTGCAGGACTGATTTTGTTTATTTATTTATGCCTGGAGCATCACACTCAATCAATAAACACTGGCAAAAATCAGGAGGAAAAAGAGCAGCAGTAATCTAATAGCAAAGGCAACTTCTGTGCATGATACCATTAATCAAATCAGCTTTCACAACTACCTAGGATGAAATTTAACCTTAAATGTGACTCCAAGTCACTTAGTAAGACTGCAAGTAATTATGTTCTAGATAGGTTCCTTCTTGACATTATGGGTTATTTCTACTGTGGAGGTACAGTGAAGTTTTGTCCTGAGCCAGCAAACCATGAGAAGAGATACCTAATGCCTCATGAAGTAAAAGCAAAATAATGTAATCAGAGCAGTCTAAACAGACCTGAAACTCCCCTAAAAAGCTTTTGAAGGAAACAGTATAACCAAAGAGCTAGAATTAGGGTCTGATTGGGTTTTATTCCTAGTTTTTGGAAATTAAGGGCTAATTAGAGCAGCCTTGGGACACTTTGATTATGGCTTTACTTTCTGGGCAGGAAGGAAGACCAGTAATTAGGCCGTTACATGGGAGAAGAGTAATGAAAGTCAGGACATCTGGGGGATATTTCACAAGGTGTAACTGTAGAGCAGTCATTTTAGAGCAGAGGATAAAAATGCTCTTAACAGCAGCCCACCTTTCTATAAAGTACTGACATGAGCATGTACAAGCATTCTTACTGATGGCTTTTTATCTCTTAAGGGGAATAGTAAAGCTGTACACTAATATTAGCCAGTGTTTGATACAGGGCATTATTTTCCTGTCTTTCCAAGCAATGGCAAAACTCCTGCTGGATGCAAAGGTAGCAGATTGGGCTCATTAAATTTTGAGTAAATTCGCAGCAGCAAGCTCTGCATGACCTTCTCTTCAGCTATTGTTCATGCTGTAATCAGGCATATCCATCACACAGCTTTGCATCTGTCTGCATCCTCTTTCCTTTACCTAACCCTCTTCTCTCAGTCCACATGAACAATGGGCGTGATGACCCTATAGGTCTCTTCCATACAAGTTAATTGCATTTGGGAATATGCCTTTGTTCATAACTTATATTATAGTGTGGACATGACTGAGGTTAGCATATGGCATTTGCTAATGGTCCTTCCTATTCCACATTTCTCATAGGCTGATAACTTAATAGAGATGTCTATATCCCTTAACAAATCAAATTAAAAATGTTGCAGCAGCTGCATATGTTAGAATCTACAAGCTCGTTAGTAACATACTTAATTATAGGGTATTATTTTAGCCAGTAATAAAGAGTGCACAAGCGAAGATGTGCACAGTTTGGGGCTACGGCTGATAAACCACCTGCTTTCAACAATAGCACTATATATAAAGTCAAATGCACGTACTTTGTGACGAATGTAGACATGTACCCATCTCTTATTTTTCACTAGAACCAATAGTAAGGTACCACAGGAAAAGGGTATTTTAGGGTAAAAATGTTGATGTAAAACTGGACTAAATTCAAGTTTCCACTCTCCTGAGGACATCCTCAGAAAATCACTTAAAGACATAACTACAAAGATCTTTAGGACTACAAAACTGCTAAAAGGTGTTTTGTGGAACTCAGAAGATTGTAGAAACACATTATGTGAAAGTCCAGGGTATTCACATGTGCTAAACAGGAGTAATGGTGTGCTATCACCTTAGAGGTGATAAGGATGCATGCTCTAATGTTTTGTGCAGTTCACATACTATATAAACAGGAGCCAGCTGGTTCACACCAATGAACTGTTCATTGAGTACTTTACATTCTTTAAAGTGAGGCTTGTGCTTACATAGCTCTTTAGACTGGTACGTACCTGACAGGTTTACCAAGCTATTCTGCCAAGAGAACACCAAATTCACTGAGATGTGAGACAAAAATATACCTGCTATACCCAACAGATCCACTGTGATGGGCTATGGTGTATTACCTCATGCTGCAATTTCATCTAATACAGGAGATCCATGTAGGTGCACAGTCACAGAATCACAGAATGATTTGGGTTGGAAGAGACCTTCAAGATCATCTAGTTCCAACCGCCCTGCTATAGTCAGGGACACCTCCACTAAAGATAGCTTATAACCAGTTCTACCTGCTGATGCATCTGCTTTGTACCTAATTTTACCTTGGTCTATAAATGAAGCCACATACTCATGCATTTTTCCCTCTTCGAAGCTGCCAGGACAAAGAAATTGCATAAATAATTCACAGCATGTTACAAGAAAAGCAGGAAAGCTACAGCACTTACCTGAGTTGCAGCACTGGTCCAGTGATGTGCCTTCTAAGTAAACTGTCTTGAAGAACACTGTGGTTGGAACAATCTCATTGTAGAAAGCTAGCATTCGTAGGATCTGAAGGCAACCTACCTGAAATAAACAATCATGCTGAGTCTTTCTTTGTATTTATTTGTTGGTATGACAACAGCAGATTGAAAGATTTAGCCAAAGCCTCAAATGAGTGCCCACCTTCTGTGGGAAGTAATGTACACGTGTCTGCCACAGACTCCTGCCACGCTGCCATCTTTGCCTCTGAAGTTCACAGATTCCAACCTGAGCTCAGAGCAAGGCAGCAGATAACAGACAACATCATATCCACATCCTACATATAGCCTTGGACATTAATGAGTATTGTCTAACAAGCAAAAAGAGTCCTAACTTTGTACTGTTAGTTCTGTTTCCCTCCCACTGAAGTCATTTCATGTAATAAAAAGCTATTTCCAAATTCTCGTCCTAGTTCCAGACCTCCAATTCCATAATATGAAGGTCAGGGTGTTAAAGGGGCTCCTGCTCACAGGGGATTCTGATGAGGCCCATCTGTGACTCCCCAGCCCATGAGGCAGATTGTGAGCTGTGTACGAGCCCCTTTAAAACACGGTGCAGCCAAACCTTGCAGATCTAATCTGCACTGGTGACTGCAGCAAGGGCTCAGATGGCAGATATTTATTCCAATTATTCGTAGGATGGCAAGTCAATTTTGTGCCTTGTTAAGTAAATTAGTCCTTTAATAAGATAGGTTTACATGTCTAGCCATGGGAAAATAAGAGTTTTCATTTTGAACATAATCATTCCAAATACTGACAGACTACAGGAAAGACACAGCTAAGTATTCTTCATTTGAATGTTCTTAAATTACAACTCAGGTAGGACAATTCAACTTTCTTCTGAAGCTACCCAATTAGTATTCCTGGTGCATCTTGAGATCTGTAGATGAAAAGCTCCAGAATAAGACAATGTTTTACACTGTTAGTCAATCAAACACAGAAACACACACTGAAATTAAATTGCTGGAAAAGCCTTGATGCTGCTTCTCCCCTTTCCTTTTCTTTATCCTTTAATTCTGTTTCTTTGATAAACTATTAAATTTCAAGAGCCAGGTCTTTAATGCTCCTTTTGTGCACTACGAATGATCTGCCCATTAGCTATCAGAGAAGATTCATAGGCAACAATTCCAAATGTTTTAAATCAGTTTACTAGGATCAGAGATTTTTCTAAGTGTGGGAGGAAGACAGAGAAACACAGTGAAGGAAAGACCTGCAGTGCTACACACACTCCTTATTAACTTGAGTAATCCCCTTAAAGCTATTCAAGTGAAATATTCAAGCCTGATGAAACTGACGTTCAGGCAGACAGATACTTCTGTCTATATAAATAACTTCATGAAAACTGCAGAACTCAACAAAAAAAAAGATTTCCTAATTTCAAGCGTCTGCTTTAATCCTCTCGTTTTCCTCCACATAAGATGACTTATTCATTGTGTAACATCTGCATACTCCTCAAGATTTGCAGCTAGGAACAGCTGAGCTGAAAATAGATTTGAGAAAGGAAACAATAATTATGTGAGCAGGTTCTGGAATACAGGATGAAAAAAAACAAGAAGTTTTTCCTGCATCTGACAAGCACAGTTCCCAAGAAGCCAGAATTGCAGAGCTCAGAAATGCACTGAAGTTATCACTAGCAAGTTACCCACAGAAATCATGTTCCCAAACAAGATAGCATTAGGATATGATGGGATTTACAGCAGGTTTGCATCAAGATGAGCTGGCTAGATTTACATTTGTGGCTACCAGTAACCACTGTACTAAAATTAATGCTAGAGTTAAAAGCAGGAGGGACAAATGATCAAGATATTTATTTTGTGTAGGTGATAAACACTGCTGCTTTCAAGGATCTGTTGTAAGACTACAGTTAGATTTCAGACTGGGAAGAATCAATGAGCCAGACTTATTGTGGGGCTGCCTACAACTGGAAGGAGCAGGAACTGGCATTCAATAGTTAAACAGTGGAATGTTTTTTTCTGGCATATATGTCAATATTTTATGCATTTCAAAATTAGATGATCACCATGGGAAAAAAAAAATAGAAAGCCTAGTGCTAGTCCATGCAGAAATTGAATTGCATGCTGTACACTGTACACAGAGCATTAAACACTAAAGGAGGAGAATAAATACATCTATATATATACAGTGATCTAGAAATACTACAGTCATATTTAAAAGTCTTATTTGTAACAGAAACAATTGAAATAAAGCCCAATCATTATTTAATTTCAAGGTCCTTCTTTAAAATATGGGAAGACTAAAGGGCTTCTAAAGCAAAAGTTAATTCAAAAAAAATTAGAAGTTCTGAACAAATGAAAACAGGATTTCAGGATTTTACAATAGGAAATATGAGCTAATCTTATGAAATAAGTAGTGCTACTATCTCTGTAATAACATGAAGGAGGTAAGATTACAGGAGAGTTCGATGTGGAGCTGCAAGGCACAAAGCAATGAATCATCATTCACTGATGAGAAAGCTTACTCAAACAAGTACATAGATTTTGAGGAGACCAGGACCTTTCATTTAACGAATTCCAGTCACTGCAGACTTTACCTGCCACTAGCAGTTGGAAAGGGAAGTTTTTTCTATGCAAGCTTATAGTGATCAGACAGCAACCTCTTCTCCCCAGGCCCCTACCTCAGTGCAACAGGGATTCCTGGCTCACCTTCCTGCAGAGCAGCTTCCCCAGAGCTGCACACTGGGAGCTCTGCAGTTTTACTGAGATGCTCTGGAGCAATCCCTAAGGAAACAAAGGCTAAAGGAACAGCTTGCATAGCAGACAGGAGAAAGTAGTGGTACAGAGGGCTTTACTCTTGCAAAAAATATATAGATGTCACATCTCCTCTCCACCCCAGCCTTTTTTCCAAGAAATGTCTGCTCGATAGATAATCAGTGCTGACTCAATGCCCAGGGCTCCCCTAAAGAAGAAAATTGCTGCAGTGTTCTCTGTATTCATCAAATATTCTTGCCGTCCTCTGGAGGAACAAAAAATCCACTACCAAAGGAAAAAATATATTCAGTATCACTATATGGTGGCTACATGTATTTCTTTGTTTGTTTGTTTAAAAGCAATGTCTTTCTTTGATTGGGACTCAGAAAAGAAAATAAATAGAGAGAGAAATGTCAGGCTAGAGAGGAAAAAAAAAGAGACTGCTGCCTGTCTCCAGCAGTTTCACTGCGGTGAGGAGGAAGGATTGGAAGTTCAAACCAACAGGAGCAGCGCTGCAGGAGTGACTCAGCATTCTCCTGCGGCAGGAGGGGAGCAAGGCAGCAGTCACCGCCCTTCCCTTTAAGCTGCAGGAGACTGCAGCCAAGCCAGACCCACTTCCAAAGAGAGCTGATCTGCTCCTGTCTGGAAATAAACAACAACAAGCACCACAGCCTCCCCCCCACTGCCTTCCCTCAGCACCCATAAGATCCCATTCCTTTGGGTGTGCTCCAGAGAGAGCATCAAAGCTGCCGTACCCCACTCCTTATCTTCCCACTGCAGTCAGAAGATGCCACTGTGTTCCCTCGGAGCTGCAGAAAAGCTATTAACTCCCACTCTGCCACATCCACCTCCTACTCACTGGGAGCAGCAGAGCAGCTGATTGCTCTTCCTCTCCCGCACCCCGTCTGATTCTCACATAGCTGTACACCACCGCCTTCAATAACTTGCACAGGATGGAAAAGGAACAAAAGGGCCAAAGAGTATTACATATACAGACCCACGTAACTGAAGCTGGTCTCCTGCAGGAGGTACGTAACCGAGGTGCATGTGGGAAAGGAGTCTTGTGCTTCATTTCAATTGCTCAGTGAGGAAGGTCAGTCTCAGGCAGAGAAATTAACCCCCCTCACACAGACTGCAGTTGGAAATAGCCCTTCCCACGCCCACTGCAGACGTGGGCTCAGCTCCTGCAATCTGGACTCACTGGGGAAAAGCACTCTATGTCCACAAATGCTATCTTGCAAGGAACGCAGCACCTGGCAAAGGCCATGGGAAGTAAAGAAGAGACCTGTGAATGGTACAGAGCCCACTCAGTTGCTTCTCAGCCATTTGCTCATTTCCTACTAGGTTTGTCCTGACTGACACACACCCTATCTTTCTATTCCTGATTTAACACCTTCCTCACAGATGTTGTTCATTTCTGGGGACGGGTGAGCAGATGCCCCTCACTGCCCAATTTCACCCCAAGCCTTCTCTCAGGGTATTTCAGCAATACCACCCCTGGGAGAAAATCATTCTAAACCCCTTGGTACTCCCACCACTTGCCCCCTTTTGTTGTATCATTTCTAGCTACTTTGGGGAGAGTTTTACATAGCATCAAGCACAAACACTAGCTTTTGGGGGGAGGTCTGTTTGCAATAAAGCCACTGAACGCTCCTGTTATTTGTGTAAAAGTTGGTGCAGAGCAGTCATTGCTCCTGAATAGGAAAGAGAAGGTTTGCTCTTTCCAGTTCTTTTCTTGCAGCAGTCAAGCTTATGTCCAGGGGGAGCCTGGGCCGTGGTGGCTCCTCCTCTATGCGGGACTCTCCTCCTCTCTCCCTCCCTTCTCTCGGAAAGTTGGTGCAGTGTTGAACTTTTGCCAGAAACCGGACCTGCTGCAGAAGTGGCAGCTTCCCAGCGGGAGCAGAGGAGAGGCAGTGAGTAATGCTTTCTCGAAGCTCCGCTCCAACAGCAGCCACTCCATCACTTTCATCCCTTCCTTCCCCTCCCTGCTCATAGCTGGGCTTTGTCAGTACAGAAATCTCCACTTCAGACAGCAGTGCAGGATCCCACCACCACACCCCTGCAGTGACATGCGGAGGGCACTGCCAAGGGCCAGCGCAACAGAGGCTGCTCCCTCCTTTCCCATTCGCAAAAATCCTCCCTTGTCCCATCCTTCCACAAGGACGTGCAGAGAAAATTCACTTAAATTAACTCCTTAAGTGGCAGCCGCCTCTGCTATCCCTGACACAGCAACCTCAGGCCCTTTATGTCACCTCGTGCAGGCAGATTCCTTGAGAAGCCCAGGAAAAAAAAAGTTTCTGTTCCCTTTCAGTCCCCTCCTCACCCCTAAATTACAGCT